GGGCAGGCAGGGGGCAGCCGACTGATTTGTGGTTCTCTCGCATCGATGTTCCTCTCTCTCTCCCTGCCTCTCTCTCTAAATCAATAAAAACATATGTGTGTGTGTGTGTGTATATATATAAAATATATATATATATTTTTTAAATGGTTGCCCTAGGTAGAGTTTCCCTGACGCATGTTTAACTTAAAACAGGCTATTGTCAAATAACTTCATGTTCAATATAAAAGCCATATTACAATGTATTTCCATTTCCCACTGGCTGGTTCTGTACAGTTTGTTATGTAAGTCCCTCTGCTGCTACTTCCCACCTGATAAGCATCTCAAGTTGTCTCCAGTGATTAACTTGTCTCTCCTGGTAGAGAGGGAATGATGAACACTGTAAATTTATGTCCCCTGTGTAGGCAAACAGAGGTTTTCTTGTATCTGTTTTTCTCAATTGCCTTTCGCTCAAAATAACCTTTCTGCCAAAGTGGCACCTTTTGGGGTGGCACCTTCTGTCTCCTTCAGTCATAACGCACTAGTCTTTCCAGAACCAAGGGTGTCCTCTAATACCATGTCCTCCCGTTTCCTCCTTCTATTGCCACTTCTCCCCCCTCCACTCCATAGGTTTATCTCAGAAGTAAGTGGCAAAATCGGTTTGGGGGTGTGTGTTTTTTTAAATCCTGTCTTTTGGGTGGTTCTTTGAAGTTGCCCAAGGCTAAGATCTGTTTCTCAATCCAGTTCCAATATATTGAGTTAACCTGCCCTCTTCCAGAATAGCACTCACTTTGATTAGAAAGAAGTGGCTTCTCAAGTTGGAAGGTACAAAATAACCATAGGGATGGAAGGCCCAGCGCAGGGGACACAGTCCGCAGTATTGTAATAACTACGTAGGGTGCCAGGTGGGCACTAGACGTACCGGGGCAATTACTTTGTGAGTTATATGTCACAGTCTAGCCACTGTGTCTAACACCTGAAACCAATACAAAATAGTATTGAATGCCAACTGTAATTGAAACATTAAACATTTCCCCCCCCCAAAAAAAGAAAGCAGTGGTTTCAGCCAGAGGAACAAGCCCTGCTCTTGGCNCCCCCCCCCCCAAAAAAAAGAAAGCAGTGGTTTCAGCCAGAGGAACAAGCCCTGCTCTTGGCAGCCTCTCAGGACTGTGTGTAGGANTCCCCCCCCCAAAAAAAGAAAGCAGTGGTTTCAGCCAGAGGAACAAGCCCTGCTCTTGGCAGCCTCTCAGGACTGTGTGTAGGAGGAATAGCTCTGGTGGAATGTGAGGTCATTAAAACTTCTACTTTTTTTTTCTTTCTTTCAGTTTTTTGACTCTCAGTTTAAAGCACGTGTAAAGTTGCTATTATCTTTGGATCAGTTGTTTCCTGCAAGCACTTTGGGCTACAGTTTTCTACTCTTACTTCTTTGTCAATCCAATTACTTCTGCTTTCTATCCTTAGGGATTTTTGGTTCACTGATGTACCCTTTCTTTATTCCGGAGGTGCTACAGGTTTGGTCTATTTAATTGGCTCTCTGCTTAGTTATTTCAAGAAATTTGGGGCAGGAAGGAAAGTAGATTGCCATCTTCATCTAATCTCTCAGATTGCTTCTATCTTTCAATAGCAGCCTGTTACTTGTCAGAGCAATTTTCTCTTGAGTCACACTGAAGAGATAATTTATCATTTCTGTTTCCTACATTAACTCGTTTTTATCGGAATTCATTTGCCCATATGCTTTAAACTCAAATACTGACAGCGTGGAACCCGTTATTAGTTTAATGATCTGAGAAGAAGATAAAATGCATAAGAAAAAACAGATAAATTATAAAGAATGGGCGGTTTACTTTAAGCACTCTAAAAATGAGCCTAAATGGGTTAATTTTCGGTTATATTCAACAAGCTGAAATTATGGCATTAGGAATAGCACATTTTAACTTTTCCAAGGACGGCTGTTGCCCTGGCCGGTGTGGCTCAGTTGGTTGTAGCATCTTCCCATGTTCTGAAGGGTCGCAGTTCGATTCCCGGTCGGGGCACATGCCCAGGTTGCAGGTCCCCTCCCTGCTGGGGCATGTGTGGGAGGCAACCGATGTTTCTCCCATCAGTGTTTCTCTCTCTCCTTCTACCTTTCTCTCTTTAAAAAAAAAAGAAGAAAAAATTAAAAAGAAAGAAAGACTCTTGTGTTAGCATGGTCTCTCATGCTCAGCATACTGACGCCTTGGCCCAGATAATTCTTTGTGGTGGGGGCTGTCCTGAGTAGGATGTTTAGCAGCATCCCTGGCCTCCACCTACTAAAGGTCAGTATCACCCACTAGACAACCCAAAATGTCTCCAGACATTGCCAGATGTGCCCTGGGGAGGGTGGGACAGAACTGCCCCAGTGAAGAACCATGTTAGTAGATAGAACCGCTCACCCAAAATAGCTCTTCTAATATTACAGGCTAAAAATGGGTAACCTATCTGTAAGTCCATTATGTCCAACTCAATACTTTAAAATAGAATGCGCCTTGTCACAATCCCATGAAATATTCAAAACGTTGATGGATGTTATCTGAGTTCAGCGTGGTTAAAAGTAGAATATAAAAGCCAGGGGAAAAAGCTCTGACGCTAGAAACGAAAATAAGACAGCAACTCTTGTAAATAACTGTTAACCAGGGAAGAAGCAAAACCAAAGCTGCGAATGTTTAGAAAATCGCAAAACTGGTTAATAAAATCTTAACTAAAACAGTGCTCAGAAGAAAATTTATTATAATCAGTGTTTCTATTCTTAAGAAAGGAACTGAAACCAAACAAAAATCAATGAAATAGGCATTCAACCTAAGAAGTTAGAAGTCTGTTGAAAAACTAAGAAAAATAGACAAGAAGTCAGTAAAAGAAAACAAGATATTGATGAATTAGGAAACAGAAAAGCAGCAGAACTAATCAATGATTTCCCCCCCCCCTTTGGGAAATTTGCTGTGAGATCTAGAAAGAAGCAAAAAGGACTTGATTAACCACTAATTAGTTAGCAGGCAAAACAACAAATAGGCATACAAAATAAAAATGAAAAGGGAGAAATAGCCACAGGTTTAGGAAAACTAGAGGGATCAAAAGAGTCCCAGCCTGCAGGAAAGCTTAAGGATTTTTGTTTTGTTTACTGATATGTCTCAACTGCCTGGGATAGAGCCTAGCAGAGTGGCACACACAAAAATCTGTTGACTAAATGAACAGATATACATACATTTGCTAAACTATATGACACTGATAAATTTCAAGAAGAAAAATTTGAGAAATCGATCCTAGATGAGATAGAAAGTGTACAGTTCTCCCTATTGACAGAGATGAAATTCTCAGGTAAATTGCACCAACACCTTAAGGAACAAATCATTTAAATTTAATTTGTACTAGAATGGAGAGAGTGAAAGAAAATCTTGTTCTCTCTTTTTAATAACGGAACAAGCGCAATTTGATAATAGAAAATAATTAAAGTGTGTACATGAAGAAAACTTCAGAACGGTCGTATAGAAATATCAATATGAACATGTTCAATATGGCATTATCAAGTAGCAGCAGTTAAAATATATGAGCAGCCCGGCTGGTGTGGCTCAGCGGTGGAGCACTGACCTAGGATCCAGGAGATCAAGGTCCGACTCCCAGTCAGGGCACAAGCTCAGGTTTTGGGCTTGATCCCCAGTGGGGGAGCCTGCAGGGGGCAGCTGATGGATATTTTGCCCCCACTTGGATGTTTTTACTTCTCTCTCTCCCTCTCCTTTTCTCTCTTTCTCTAAAAATGAATTAAAAAAAATAGTTTGACAGGTGTGGTCCCTCTTCCACCCCAGTCCCCTCAAAATACTTGGAAGGGATTTGACAGAGATCAGGTCTCAGGTTTCTGTTCTTCCGTTTTCATTTCTTTCTTTTTCTTCCCTCTTCCCAGTGCTAAATGTGCAATAGGAACTTGATCAAAGATTTTTCAGCTGAATGGCACTCAGATGACCAGCCCCCCATCCCCACAACAGAATGGAGATCAATGTGGTAGAGCAAATCATCATCGTTTATTAATTTTTGTGAAAAAAATTTTTTCCAGGGGACACCATTATAGGTATTAATATTGAAGTTAGTGGCAATAATGAAAAGATCGAAATTTTTTTAAAGCAATAATTTCTCAGAAGTGTGTATTTTCAGGTCATTGAAGATTATATGTAAGCAATTGGCTTGGACAAAACATAATTGTTAAAGACCTCTCTTGCCCTGTGAAAGCGACCTAATGTGAATGAATAAAATATATTGCTTTAGGTGAGTTGAAAATAGGAATATTTCTATCGCAGAATTATAATAATCTTCCTATTCACTTAAAAAAAAGTACGTATAGTAAAATTAGCAGTGATCTTTGGAACTTGCAGTGTTGAAATGTACATAATTATCCCAATAACACTTTCAAAGTCTTAAGTATAATAATTTTATAAAGCTTCTTTTTCCAATATATTTCGGAGAGCCTCCTTTTCAAATGCCTTCTTTTCAAATAGCTACCTTTGGACCATGTTACAATACAAGGTTTTACTTGTGCATGTGGGCAGCCTCAAGCTGTCGCAGTGGTGGCCGTATTGCGCAGGGAGCGATGAGTGACAGACAGCAAGTGTGGCTCACTAGTNTGGTGGCTGTATTGCGCAGGGAGCGATGAGTGACAGACAGCAAGTGTGGCTCACTAGTCATGTTGCAGCTCAGGCCTTTGAAAGCTGTACGAGAGAAGTAGCAGCCACCCACCCCTAACGCTGGGTAAAGACGGATCAGACTCACACTGCGTGGAAACAGACCACCGCCAAATCATTATGGCTTTGCCCACCACTTAATTGGTTCCAGCTATTATTTCAATAGATTGAAACATTTTTTTCTTCAACACGGCTAAGTCAAAGTGTCTTGTATTATCCGGCAGTTAAGCCTGTCACCATCTGGGGGAAGCACCCAGCCAAAGGTCCGGCACACACAGGAGGGACATGTCAGCGCAGGAGGGACACACAGGAGGGACATGTCAGCGCAGGAGCTCTCTGGCGTCAGTACTCCTCATTGAATGGGTACTCGGGGTGATCTCTCCACCTGCCAAGACAAGTCCCCAAGGGGGACATCTCAGCGCAGAGTCGCACAGCTGTGAGTTCCTGGCATCCTTGGACAGGTCCGCTGGCCGCTCCCTCTCTCTCCTAATCATTCCTCCTGTTCCTTTCCCGCCCTCCTGCCGGTTTTCATCCAGCCAGCGCCTTTACTAGAGCCCTGGGGGCACCTGGGCTTGAGTGTGTGTGTCGGGGGGCTGGGGGCGGCCGGCTGCCTCCACACCAGCCCTTTGCTCAGGACAAAAACACAGGGGTGAGTGAAGCGGCCCCTTCCAACTCCTCCCTCCCTCCGCTGTCCTGCCGCAGGGGGCCTCCCACGCCCGTGCCCCACAGGCACCTCTCCTCTCCACAGCTCTGTCACCAGTCAGGCCACCCTCCCCTCCGCCTAGCTGCTCCTTGCCTTTCGCACTAGGCCTCCTGAGAGTTGATAGGTGGAGGCCTAGAAGGTGGGGACCAGCAAAGGAGGTTTCTGCTGTAATGGTGACAGTGATGATGATGGCCCTATCTGTTAAATGCAATGGGGAAACGGTCTGTAAGAGGACTGGGGTGTGTGTGTGTGTGTGTGTGTGTGTGTGTGTGTGTGTGATGGGCACATCTAAGACTCAGTTCTCTACAAATACTATAGACTAAGTTCTTGACAAGTCCTATACGCTTTAAATTAAAATGTAAATTAAATTAAAAAAAAAAAAAAAAGACTGCGAAATTCAGTCAAGGATTAAGTGGATGGAAAACAAAAAAGAATCTGCCCTGGCCAGTGTGCTCAGTGGTTAGAGTGTTGGCCTGAGCACCCAGGGGTCTCGGGTTTGATTCCAGGTCAAGGGCACTTATGTACTGCTGTTTATTTCTCTCTCTCCCCCTCCCTCCCACTCTCTCTGAAAAGCAATGGAAAAAATATCCTCTGGTGAAGATTAACAAGCAAACAAACAAACAAACGAACTAACAAAAACCGCCCAAGAATCATGGCCCAGCGTGCCTAAATAATACATCATTTTGACCCACGGGACCTAATTTTTGTTTCTCCTTGCTGATTTTTCTATTCCTGGTACAATGAGTTATTTTCTCAGTATTTCTAGAATTAGGTATTAAATATGTCAAATGTCAAACCAAATAACGTTACCAACTAACTGTAAAAAAAAATCGGCACATTGGTGGATTGACTATATCGTACTATCCCTTCTTCATTTGATGATGTTTAGTCAATAGAAATCATTTATCTTCAAGAGCCATTAACCAAGTGATGTGTTTCTTAGTTCCAAGTTTGTGTTTACTCTTTAATTCCTGAGGCTACGTCGATAATTATCCTCCTGGAAAATTCACATTAGGAATTTGTTTCATTCATTCAGAAGTGGATTCGGAAGTTTGATATTAACACAATCAGAGCAGTTTCTGACTCTAGAACTAAAGCGGGGCCCAAAGTGCCCAAACTATACGAACCGTTTTAATGAGCTTTGGTCAATGCTCTTAAAGAGAGGGTTGACAACAGGGGACAGTCCAGGTGATCTGAAGAACTGGGAATATTGATAAAGCGATTAAGAAGAAAAAATTGTGTGTGTGTGTATACACAACATATGTGTGTGTGTTTTCTTTTTATTTTAAAGGACCTGTAGTATTTAGGGAATAAAGGACCTGTAGTATTTAGGGAATTATTAGCTGAATCTGACCACATTTAAGGAATGTAAGGAATTTTGCTTGTGGGTGGATGGAGCTGGAATGGTACAGCTAGAAACTTCAAATCCTATAGACAAGTGTTCGTCTAAAACTAGTTTCTTTAGGTGAAGGGATTAGCCAGCGAACATATATGCAGAGCCATGGACTCAGACAACAGTGTGGTGATGGCCAGAGGGA